AGGTACACCCGATCACAGTGGCTATGTAGGCATTGTTCTGAAGACGACAGTTAGCGAATGCAATAGTGCCTCATATCATTGTCACAGTTACAAATACCATAACTTTACATTACGATGGTGTTGTGTTTAAATGAGAAACAAAGAACTGAAATCCTAATTATGGTTGAATACGGAGATATAGGATCCGTAGTTATGATGAAATATGTCAATTATTCAATGCCAAGTATCCAGAACAACCAATACCTCCGTGTACAGTATGCAGATTAGTACCCAAATTTGAAGACGCTGGCCATGTTAGAAATGTGTCTAGATCTAGAAGGCCAACGACAGTGACAGAAAATGATAGGCAAAATGTTATGTTTAGCTGTCACTGAAAATCCACACATTGCCATTCGTCGTATCGCCGCAAACGCCAACATATCAGTACATAAAAACGTACCTACAATCAACCAAAACACAAAACATCCCCAAATTTCCATTTTATACTCTCGCATTAGTTTATGATATCTACTTTTGTTGTTATTTTAAACCATGTCCATTCCAGTCATTGGCTTTTTTCCGCTCCTGTCAAAGTAAAGTAGGCCAAACCCTATATCGACGCATTTCCCTTCAAAAGGACTGTCCATTTATGCTTAAAAAATTAGGTGGTGATATTTAAAAAAATGTCGATGACGTCATAGGTTTATGAAACATAGCGCAAAAAAGGTTTAAGCAACGTGACAAAACGACAATTCTAATTTACTAATTGATGTGTTTTAGCGTTTTTGTGAAAATTCAACACAAAATGAAGTATGAATTTTTTGCGTTCCTTCTGGGACGCACTGTATATAATACATGCTTAATTATTAAATACTCTAATTGTCGAACGGAAAATGGTCACGGGAAGTGGTTTTTCGACTGTGGCAGTCTTATTAAAAATAATCAACGCAGAATAATTACTTATGGATTTAGATAAGAGCTGAGAAAGGCAACCAAAAACACATCCAGGCACAATTTATACAGTTCTATTATAATAAAATATTAGAAATGATGTACCACAAATTGATTTTATGATTAAATAAAGACAATCAAGACAATCATGTAAATCCTTACGCGATTGGAAAAAAGGCAGAAATACCTGAAAGAAGTCTAACAATTACAAGATATCTTATTTTCTTAATTAAAAACCTTCTTTTCTTTTTTAAAAATATACATGGTGTTCCTTTTAAACTAACAAAGTTAATATCCGCGGCCATTTTGTTTGGACTTCATTTGTTTTTCAAATGTCATTTTCGTAAAGTTAATAAAAAATCGTGCAACTTTTGTATTTTACATTTTTTTTAGAACTTAAAACAAAAAAGTTAAAATGGGGGTCAAAATATAGTGAATCACCCTGTACATGGAGGTTGTTAATAAAATTCGATTTTCTCAAAAACGGTACAAGATATCGACTGATATATGGTATACCTTTTTTTTAGCAAAGTGAGAGAGAAATCGAACTGTGGAAGAAAAATGCCAAATTTAGCTACGCTTTAGTAGTCAGGAAAAATTTTAAATGATAGCTAAAAACGTTTTTACAATAGTAATATCATCTAATTCAGAATTAGAAATGACTTCAAATTTTGTCATAAAAATAGCAGCGACATATTTAAAAAATTTAATCTGATGTAGCCGCTCGAAGACGAAACGTCGGATTGTAAAAATGTTGACGCCATTGGATAGAGCAAAGAAAGTGGCACTGTAAATATGCAATTTATTTTAAAATTCGTTGTCAAATAAAGCCAGCAAAAAAAAATAAAACGATTTTCCAAACTTCGAGTTTTCGGGTTTCGTGTCAACAGTAGACTTTGCAGTTATTACTTTGTATTGCTGAAATCTCAAATCATCCAGAGATAATTTATCATTTGTATATTTGTAATTCGACTTAGATGTTTATAGCAATACTGTATAAAAATAAAGTTTTGGATCAAACAATGAGTTTTTTTTAATTTTTGTCCGTAGAATTAAATGGTGTAATGAGTTTTTGAATGTTTTTTAATTTAAACAAATTATTAACAATTACTGAAAAACTGATTGTTGCGTCATTTTTTATTTTTTTTTACATTTTTGAGCATGTTTTTGAACTGTGATTACAGTTTTTTTCATTTCACCAAAAAGTATATGTCAAAACGAAAAAAATGATTACCGGGTAAAACTCTGTACAATGATTTTTCTAAGTAGAATTTTTCTTTGAAAAAAAAGTGTTTCAAACTGGAAAAAATGAATATCTCGGAAACTTTTTATCTAAAAAAATGTGGTTATTTAAGACACATAAAGGTATACTTTCTCCAAGCTACGTTAAAATTAAATTATTTTT